GTCTAACTGGAAAAACACTGAGGAACTGACTGTGGGTGAGCAAGAGATGGCACAGAGAGCACAGTGGAGCTGAACAGGAAACAACTAAACATGTGGGAAAAGTTAAACAGAGAAATCCCAAAATATTACATGAATACAACCATGAAACACAAACTGTTACAACAAAACAACCTGACCGTCTAATCTGTTTCTCAAACATGTTTTGTCCTTTTTCATCCAGGAAAAAGCAATGTCACATTTTATTTAAAGAATATGTTATTACATTGTTTTTGACTTTGTAATAGAAAGTTTGTTTCTAGTCACATTTAAAAATATGCAAATCATTGAATTATGTTTCCACACACACTTTTAAACTGTTTTCAGTATGTGTGTGCAGGTTGTGTCTCCACCATGCTGGAAGACAGAGAAATTACTTGGACTGATGATTATTTTTATCCAAGATATTTGTTAATTTATTGAGCTCATTAATCCAAGCACATTTTGAAAAAGCAACATGACGTAAAAGTCTAACTATGTTGAGATGGTTAAACGAGCTGTCAGGCAGCAATATTGGTGGAAAATTAAATTACTGTACAATTTTTACAGCTATAAAAACATTCATATAAAAACAGTAAATAGATACAAATCAGTAGCGGTCATTTTCCTACCCTGATATAGAATACTAACTGGTTTTCAATACAAGCCTATTCACAAGAACCCAGGACAACAAGATGATTCCAGGTAAATCTGCTCTTCTTCAGGGGATTCTGATGTTATCAGTCCATGAAATGGACGTTATTAGGTGTTATCAGTCCCATACAATGGCTTCAGAGGGTCCCTACTGTGCCTTCTAGGCTTCAGACTGTCCCGACAGTGCCACCTAGTGGGTTAATATATCAATGACAATGAATGTGTAAATAACCAAAACATATTGCAACAAAGTTTTTATGTCCACGTCGGTCTTGAAACCTGGTCTCCTGATCTATGGTATTGGAAGGCCACAATATACAATCGTTGGAGGGCGGTGTCTTTAGTGCTAACCATGTCATTTGCTCTAAAGTTAACCTTAGTGGCTTTAAGCCTCATGTTAACCAGTTTTTTACGCCTCATGTTAACCAGATAGTGGTTTTATGCCTCATATTAACCAGATAGTAGTTTTATGTCCCATATTAACCAGTTTTTATGCCTCATGTTAACCAGATAGTGGTTTTATGCCTCATATTAACCAGATAGTGGTTTTATGCCTCATATTAACCAGATAGTGGCTTTACGCGTCATACTAAACAGCTGACAATCGGAAGCCATTCTATGGGTCGGGGAACCTGCTAACCGGCACAGGCGGGACATTCTGAAGTCATTCTAGGAGACTGATAACGCCTAATAACGTCCATTTCATGGATGATAACATCCCAAGCGGGTGTCTTTACTCATGTCAGCTGCACAAACAACCGTGAAATGAGATGGTCTAGTCCAGTGATTCTCAACCAGGGGTACGTGTACCCCTTGGGGTATGAGAGCATATTACGTGGAAAAGTTTCCCAGGTGTGTAAAAAAATAAATAAAAATAGCACTGAGATTTGTAGGGCCCTATGATTTTTGCAATACAGAAAATGCAGATGGAATAAAAAATGGAATCCAGTCTAAAACGAGGATTCTCATGGAATTTGCTCATTTGGGTGAGTTTCCGATGTATTTTGGACATTGCTGCTTACCTCACCTGCCATTAACTGGTTTATTCATTTAATTACTTAATCACTTACATGGCAATGTTTTTATCTTTGTTTAATTTGAGTTGAAAAGAATAAAATGCCTGAGAATTAAACATTCTAGGGTGGTAAATAAGTAATTTTCATTTATAATCAGCTGTAGTACATTATAGATTTGGAAAATCATTATTACGTTTGACTGAGGGGGTGGTATGACAAAATGACTCAAAGTCCAAAAAGGTTGGGAACCACTGGTCTAGTCTACAGAAGATGCATGTTACAACATTACAAGTACATAAATAAAAAGCATTAATAATTTGGGTTTAGCTCCAGTATCAGTACTTGTAATTGCATTTTATTTAGTTGCTAAACTTACATTTTTCAGTCCGAGATAAGTTTCCAAACTCTGTCATTTAAAAAAATACTCTGCTGTAAAATTTAAAAACCCTTTGGTGTCTTCGTTTTTTCTGTTTAATTTGCTGACGGCGCAATGATATCTGGGACATCGTCTGCCACGTAGGATACTGAGATGTGGACAGCGTTTGTGGGGTTTTGTTTGTCTACGAATTGAGACAGCCTACAGTTCGGGGCAGTGACATAAGAGCCGACAAATGAGCACTTATGAGGATGCAATCCATGAATTGAGATACAGCCAAAATCTCCACTCTGAGATTGGGATTCAACAAGCTTCAGTTTCAGCAGTGTTCATTCCACGAACAACCAAACTACAGCAGAAAAGTTATGGTTTCACTCAAAATCTGTGTTTTGTAAAAAGAAAAAAAAAATTGTATAGGTCTTCTGGACGGGTTCTTCTCTAATGAAACGTTTAGTCTCTCCTCCAAGAGACTTCTTCAGTCTGAGAGTTTCAGGCAAAATTCAGGCTTTTGTGATGTGACTGATACATCCCATGGCTATCGTTGACACCTAATTAACAGAACAAGTGTGCCAACTCCTCAAACTGTGCCCGGAGTCAACCTACTTCATGTACGGGGGGGAATATTATAGGCAGAAACATGGGTGTGCCATGGGATCCCCAGTTTCTCCTATTGTTGCAAACCTGTACATGGAGGAAGTGGAAAAGAGAGCCTTGATGTTCTTTTCAGGGGTGCCACCGAGCCATTGGTTCAGATACAGTATGTTGATGACACCTGGGTTAAAATTAAAGCCCAGGAAGTCCAACATTTCACTGATCGCATCAACTCTGTGGATGAATATATTAAGTTCACACGAGAGGATGTAAAAAATGGCAGCTTGGCGTTCCTGGATTGCGATGTCTCGGTTTCGGATGGAGGACGGTTGGAAACTGGCGTATATCGTAAGCCCACCCACACAGACCAAAATTTGCGTTTTGACTCCCACCACCCACTGGAACACAAGTTAGGAGTGATCAGGACTCTGTACCACAGAGCAGACAGTGTCCCTACAAACCCAGGAGCCAGGCAGAAAGAGAAATCACACACACGACAGGCCCTGGAGCAGTGTGGTTATCCTGACTGGGCTTTCCTGAAAGCAGACAGGAAACACAGACAGGATTCCATGCAACCTTCAGGTGAAAATGAAGACCCCAAACCCAGACCCAAACCAGTGGTTATTCCGTATGTTGCGGGTGTTTCGGAGAAACTGAGACGTTTATTTTCTAAACATGATGTCGCTGTGGCTTTCAAACCCCAAAACACATTACGGCAAAGGCTGGTTCACCCCAAAGATCCGGTGCCCCGGCACAAACAGAGCAATGTTGTATATGCTGTTAAGTGCCAGGAGGACTGCGACCAGTTATACATCGGGGAAACAAAGCAACCACTGTTCAAAAGAATGTCCCAACACAGACGAGCTACATCTAATGGCCAGAACTCTGCAGTTTTCACTCATTTACAGGCCAGCGGTCAGTCTTTCAGAGATGAGGATGTTCTCGTTCTTGATAGAGAGGAACGTTGGTTTGAGAGAGGAGTAAAAGAAGCCATTTTTGTGAAGAAAGACCGTCCATCATTAAACAGAGGTGGAGGCCTCCATTTTCAGTTGTCCTCCTCCTACAGCGCGGCCATTGCCAGTATCACTCCACCCCCTGTTAACAATAGGTGTTAATTAGGTGTCAACGATAGCCAGGTGATTTATCAGTCACATCACAAAAGCCTGAATTTTGCCTGAAACTCTCAGACTGAAGAAGTCTCTTGGAGAAGAGACGAAACGTTTCATTAGAGAAGAACCCGTCCAGAGGACCTATACAATTTTTTTTTCATTTAGATTTTTTACCTGGATTACTGAGATGCATCAGTACACGTGTTGTGTAAACTGGGCCTAAAGAATCTTATGCTCATGAACGATAAAGTAGAAGACTAAAAAAAAATCAACTTCTGAGTTAAGTTATGTTTGTTTTACAATACATTGAGTTTACATTGAAAGCAATCTGTAAGGGAAATCTAGGCTAGCAAAGCAGAGGGAATGACCTGGACAGTGATAACAGCACATACTTTGTCACTGAGGTGAAAGTTGAAAGATAAAAAACATCAAAAGATCAGTCAGAGTCGCTGTAATGATTCGGTTTACGATTATCGCAGAAAATAACAGTGTTTTAGTGCTGTCAGTTTCTGAAAAATAAGGTTCAAAGGTAATCATTAGAGCTCGTTTTTGCAGCTTTTATGCCCCAGAGGCTCTCCCAGCTGGATAGCACATACCTGAATCAGTTACAGAATAAAACAGCATGTGTTTCTCAGAAACTTCTGCACTGTGATGCTCTACCTCTCCACATGATGTTAACAATTAATGATCAAAACAAGCAGAAGCCAGACATGCAAATTTATATCCAAATTTGTGTTAAATAGTCCTTTTCTCCCCTTATTTTTTAAATTCTTTATTAGTTCAGTGAGACCAGTTTATCTTTGAGCTTTTAAGTTTTAAAGCAACATCAATCAGGGAACAAAAATGCCAAAGGAGCAACACAGTTTTGCAACTACAAAGTAGTTACAAAACCTTGAAGCACTTCTGGTTACCAAACAGGTCAGCATAAATCAAACTGTGCAGAGCTGACCAAAATTGATCTAAAGCCCAACTTTGGTGCACCTTTATTGATTTTTAGGCATGACACAGAACAAGAAGCCCAAAGGGCTTGTGTTTATTGCCCAGATAAACTACATGTTCATGCATATGTTTTAAAGCAGCAGCAGCCTGAACTGTGCTCTGCTCCCGGTGAACTGTCGCACTGAATTAAGAGCTGCACGTTTTCAGTGCTGCTCAGAAACAGCTGTTGAGAAATCAGTATTATTCATTTGTGGTCAAAGGACATATATCATATCTACTATAAATAAATATGGCACTTACCTTTCATAATGCTATAAGACGGCAGTTTTCAGAGGAGAGTGGAGCGTCATGCACAGACAGGCCTGCCACAGTTTCAGGTTTCACTATTTAACGTGCATCGAGGGGCGGAGATGGAAGAAACTCTAAACTTTGGTGCTGCCTACATATGAGGTTTTTCTCTCTGTGAACGAAGTCTCCTCCCGCCTCCTTCTTCCATTCAGAAGCACGCACACACACACACACGCACACACACACACACGCAGGCACGCACGCACGCACACACACACACTCATCCCCCTACACTAGAGGCCTGTTACTGCCTCTGTGTGGTGGGTTGATTGCGTAACCTTTTGACATGCTCATTCTCCCAGGGTCTGCACAGAAAACTACCAGAGAATCAGAAAGAAAAGTCACGTTGCATTAAACGGATCAGCTGCATGTACATGTGTGCCCTGTTGCAGAATATGAGTCATTAAAGTTACAGTTTAACTAAGGTTTGAAAAATAAAAAATTTCATCATCTGAGAATTGTACGCTTTCTCATTCCTTCTTGAGGTTCAGAATATTTTATTAGTCTTGTCCTGCCGAGCGTAATTAAAATTTTACTCCATCTTCATGAAGCCGCCCCCCAGCTACAAACACATCTTTAATTCAGCCCCCTGGTAAGCGGTCATTATTCCAGATTTGCTCCTCACAAGCTCAGCTGCCCATTCAGAACATTTTCCCACCACAGGAGTCCAGAGTGGACTGGTTCGAATCATTTGTCTTAAGGTCGCAATCCAATGGGGTTTTACTGAGAAGGGTGTGTGTATGTGTGCGTGTGTGCGAGGTAGGGATGTGCTTCTTCTCTTCGTGTCTTAAATCTCTTTAGGGATTAAAAAAAAAAAACTCCCAAGTCAATATGTTCAACTTTCATGTTAGTACACAATGTCCTGTTATAAGTTGTGCAATTTCCAGTGAGAACTTGTTTCCCCGATGTATTTGGAGCTCGTGCCTTGCACACACATATCTAAAAAAGCACAATCATGGGATGTTTCTGTTAATAGGAAACATTTTCACTTGCTCAATGTACAAAAAAATTCCTGCATGTTAATGTATAATATAAACTTACATGGACTTAAAACGTACAAAGTACAAAAAGTACAAAGTACAAAAAGTAGGGAAATTGGTGTTTGTTCTTTGTTGCAACAATGCTTCGTGACAATAAATTTTTTACTTGACATTTGATTGGCACCAACTTTAGGGTACAAGAAGCTCAGAACAAGTGTCAGTAACAGCAAAATAAGTTGTCTGACTGAAAGAATTTGACAAACCTTTCATGTGCACAACCCACACACTCAGATCTACTGCTCAGCTCACAATTACATGTTCCTG